TCCATGTAACCATGTTCAATTGTTTAGAAAGAGCCATACCTAATAAGTGAATGAGAAGGACATGCCTGGGCACTTCTTGTACTCCCCTATGATTGATCCCAAGCAGAGCTCCCATATTGTTCTTCTGAGTCTTCCTCTAGGATTTCATATTTGTCCTCTCTTATATTTGTTCTCTAGGCTCCCATATTGTTCCTCTGAGTCTTTCTCTAGAGTCCTATATTCGTCCTCTGGGATCCCATATTCATCTTCTAGGGTTTCATATTCTTCCTCTAAGTCTTTCTCTAGAGTCCTATATTTGTCCTCTAGGATCCCATATTCATCTTCTAGGGTTTCATATTCGTCCTCTAGAGTCATATATTTGTCTTCTAGGATTTCATATTCGCCATCTCCCTCTCGGGTCCTATATTTGTTCTTTGAGCTCTCATATTAGTCTTTTGAGTCTTCCTCTCGAGTCCTATACTCTTTCTCTCGGATCTAATATTCTTCCTCTTGAGTGCTATACTCTTTCTCTCGGGTCCGATATTCTTCCTCTTCATGTTTTGTCCACTCTCACAAATTTTAGCTTTCTGGTACCACGTGGATGAAGACTGGGTAATCCGACAGGCGTCACCTGCTGTGGCCGAGGAAGTTGACCCCTATCGAATGCCACAAACCTACGCAAAAGCTACAGTTGGCCAGTTGCCCACCGAATAATTTGTGCATGGATATACATTCAGACATACACATACATTTGCTATATTACCCTTATTGTTTCTTTGACATGTACCGCAAAGTACTCCCGTATCTGACTTCATGTGGAGCCTCACATAACTTGTGGCAAACTGGGGGCCCTTGATCCTAGTAACTTTGGTGAAGAAGAATGACATGTCTTTGTCACCGTCGAAGCATGCGCTGAAGTTCGCATGAAAACATAGCCACCTGTCATCATCGGGCTCGAACACATGACTATCGATGTCGGTCACTTTCAATAGACGCACACCCTGCATCCATTAGTACATGCATACATGACTATACATGTCTTGGTTAGCTTCTAAATATCAAACCAAAAATTCATTGCATGTTATGTAAGAAGGTACGCACCTACCTAATCTCATAATGTAGTGCGCCAATTTTTGCGCACGTAACTATCTGGCTTGTCCCAAGGCTTATCATACTCCTATTTAGTCTCAGCATGGTTCTCTTCTCTCCAAGTGTCATACTTCGACACAAAACACCATGTTAGCGCACCAACGTACGACCTATAAGCGGGCATGCATGCAAACTATGTGTTCGTACTAGTACTATATATACTGAAATCAATAACGCATCAAATTTTACTTTAGTGAATCCTTTTATGTACTACTATCAATGTTTCATAATATGAAAGCCAATATGATAACTGCTTTGTTCCTTTTATTCAGGACCGTACATATTAAAATTGATACTCATTAAGGCATAGACATGCATTGCCACTGCACGTAGAGCATTTAAGCTAATTTCCATAGTTCAAGGGGCTAATATGTTACTCCTTTTGTATCCATTATCTGGTTTGCTCCGTCTATGTGCAATGATGGATGTGGAAATAATTACTTGCAAAATCAATGTATTGATCACAACTATCTACATGCATAGATGAAAATTAAGGGCCTATTTGGTATAGCTCAGCTCACTAGTGAAGCAGTTTTTTAGCTTCAATTCCATAAAGAAGCTTTATCGGTGAAACTAAAGTTGTTAGGAGAAGCTATAAAATAGCTTTGTGAAGCTAGGGCAAAAGCCATACCAAACAGGACCTAGGATAGTGCACTCTAGTATGTGTTACCTGTCCTCTGCTACTCTACCTCGTTGTCCTGACTGCTTCCAGACCCACCTTCTGTCGTTGACCAGTCCCAACTACTATCATTGAACTGAGAGCATTCTTAGGTCTCACTGGATACTATAGCAAATTAGTGAAAAACAATGGACTGCAGTTGTTATGGCTCAAGCAGTGCAAATGGTCTCCAGATGCTCAGCAAGCATTTGACAACATCCAAGTTGCCATGACCAGAACTCCAATCTTGGCTCTGCCAAATTTCCAAGAAACTTTTACTATGGAGATAGATGCTTGTCAGGATGGCATTGGAGCAGTTCTCATGCAAAAAGGTCAGCTCATTGCCTACTTGAGCAAAGCACTAGGAGAGAAACATAGACACCTCTCCATCTATGAAAAGGAATTTTTGGCCCTCATCATGGTCATTGAGAAATGGAGGCACTATTTGCAGAGAAAGGAGTTCATCATTCTAATTGACCACAAGTCTCTAGCATACCTCAATGATCAGAACTTGCATTTAGACATGCAGAGAAAGGCCATGACAAGACTCATGGGATTACAGTTTAGAATTGTCTCAAAAAGGTAAAGAGAATTTGGTAATAGATGCCCTGTCCAGGGTAGCTCATATGTTGGCAGTACAAGCAGTGTCCTCTGTCCAACCAGCATGGATTCAAGAAGTCCTTAATTCATATGCCACCAACCCAAAAGCTCAACAATTGCTGCAAAGGCTGGCAGTGTCAAGCCCTGATACAGCTAGTTTCAGTTTGGACAAGGGCCTCATCAGACACAACAACACTATATGGATTGGTCAAAACTCAGCTTTACAAACAAAATTAATAGCTGCATTCCACTCTAGTGCAATTGGAGGTCATTCTGGGGTTGCTGCAACATATTACAAACTCAAGAAACATTTTGCATGGAAAGGGATGAAGCAAGATGTGTAGACATTTACATCAAACAGTGCTCTGTGTGTCAGCATGCCAAACATACTCTCCAACACCCCTTGGGACTACTATAGCCTTTACCCATACCTGAAGCAGTGTGGAGAGATCTCTCCATGGATTTTATAGAGGGTATGCCCAAATCAGAGAGATACAGTGTTATTTTGGTGGCGGTGGACATATTCACCAAGTTTGCCCACTTCATTCCCCTCAAACACACATACACGGCCTCTAGTGTTGCTTCGTGGACAATATTGTCAGATTACATGGCCTTCCCAATTCTATTGTCACTGATCGCGATACAGTATTCTCATCCATTTTGGGAGGGAATTGTTTAAACTATACAAGGTCAACCTTCAGATAAGCATAGCCTACCATCCCCAAACTGACGGACAGATCGACCAAAAGAGTAAATCAGTGTTTTGAGATGTTCTTGAGATGGTCTATGCAAGACTCTCCCTGAGCCTAGAAATCATGGTTGTCACTAGCTGAACTCTGGTATAACTCTTCATTCCATACTTCACTCGGTTGCTCACCCTTCAAAGCACTCTATCTCTATGGGTATGAGCAGATACTTCTCCATCAGTGGTAAACATCATTGCCAACCGCAACCTCCATCTCCAATCACTGAAGCACAACCTGACCAACACACAAAACTGAATGAAACTATTGGCCGACCACAACCGGATTAGGTTATGTTGAAATTGCAACCATATACATAAGCTTTAGTCGCTAACAAACATTTCCCAAAGCTCGTCTACAAGTACTTTGGACAATACCGTGTCCTGGAGTGCATTGGCTCAGTTGCATATCGCCTGGAACTTCCTAAAGGAGCACTGATTCATCCAATATTTCACATCTCACAACTCAACCATTTGTTGCAGACTACACACCAGCTTGGGCCCGAGCTGAATCTTCAGCGGGGGGAGGTGTGACAGGCGGCGCGAAGGAGTGAAGCTGGAAGGCGTAACAAGAGAAGGCACGAGCCCAAGCGAGAAGCGCATTTAGCATTTTATGTTTTTTATTCTATGTATGACATGTGGGGCCGATCAGCCAGAACGTGTAATGGCACATAAGTGCCCAGACCCGAAGGGGAAACTCCATTCAAACTAAAATTCAGAAAAGAATCGCTCAGGCAGAGGCTGTCCTCGCTGGTGTTCGCCACCTCGCTTTGTATCGCTCGAGCGCTAGTGTCGACGGCAACCTCGCCGTTGGCCATGGGTGTAACAAACGGAGAGGCCGAGGCCATTGTTGCCTTCGGAGAAGAAAAAAGCAGAGACAATCAAACAACAAACAGCACGCCTTGGACGGAATACGAGCGAACTGGCGAGGTAGGCTGTAGGCGAGGCAGCGCTCGTACCTCGAACGGCGACGGACGCAGAGAGCAGCCGAGTGCGAAGGAGAGACAACCGAGACGGGTTGGGTGGCGGAGCGCGTCATGGGTGGAGGGCGCCACGCCGCAGGCCGTACCTGGAATGACAAGACACGAAGAGGCAACCGAGCGCGATGGAGGGATCGGGGAGAGCAACCGAGCGCGACGGAGGGAGCGCGCAGAGCAACCGAGCGTGACGGAGGGAGATGGAGTGGAAGAGGACTTTGGAGCGAGACAGGGGAAATGGCAAAACGACAGTGACCCACACTCAAGGTTTAGACATAGGTCCAGTTTAGTTTGCAAAAAAATTTGCAAAATTTTTCACATTTCCCGTCACATCGAATCTTTGGACGTATGCATGAAGCATTAAATATAAATAAAAAATAAAACTAATTATACAGTTTAGACGAAATCTACAAGACAAATCTTTTAAGCCTAATTAGACTATGATTGGATACTATTTACCAAATAACAACGAAAACGCTATAGTACTCATTTTGCAAAAAAAAAAAATCATCTAAACAAGCCCATAATGAGTTTCCCGTTTGCGGGTGGACGGGTGGGAAGATGGTGACACTTGGACAACAGCGGTGGCCCTGAGGTGCTGGGTTTAGAGGGAAACAGAGTATTTGGAATTTTTTTATTTCAGAGTATTTGAACTTCAATTACGTGTGAGACTAAAACGTATCCGACCAATGCAGATAGGATCTGTTTAGTTACTTGCATAGAACTTGCATTGCATTAAGAGTTATGCAATATATGCTACCCATGCACAAGTGAATGCAATTCATTGTTGTTTGGTTAGACTGCATCTGTTTGGTTGGATGTACAGTGGCAAACTGCATCTAGTAATCTGTGTTTGGTTGCACTGCACTATGCATCTGAAATCAACATTGGCAATTCATCGAACACCCTGGCTGCTGGAGCCCTGGCCGCCGCTAGCCAACGAGAACCACGGAGACTGCAGAGCAACAAGCCCACATCCTGGCCACGGAGATCTCCCATTAGCTAGCAAGCTGGCTGTTCTTTCAACAGGTACCCAAGTGCCAAGATCTTCTAAATCCTCGAGTCCAACCTCCTCGTTTGGCGCATCGTCGCTGGAGTGTGCGTGATCTGTGTGGGCCGCTTCCGTATGGTCTCCATCCATGGGGGGCATCGATAGTGGCACGCTCGCCGCGCCCGTGATGGTCCGCTCGAGCTCCGGCTGCAGGAGCTCTCCGGCAACCCCGCCGTGTGCGTCGAGGACTTCTTCGACCTCGCTGCCTGCCATGCGCGTCGCCAACTTCTTCGATCTCGCTGCCGGTCGCATGCGTCACGGACTTATTCGGCCTCGTCGACGGCTCCAGCTTCAAGGGCTTCCTCAATCCTCACGGTGGCGCTGTTCGCATGCGGCATGCCGGATCCCCACAGAGGCGGCGCTCTAAATCGTGGCGAAGAAGGCAAGAACCGGAAGGTCCAGTCAGTGCATGCAGAATGGGTGCCAAAACTGCAGAGCGGATGCAGTGGCTAGACCGTGGCCTGCAATGCGGATGCAAGTAAGCCTCCGCTTGCATAGCTGGATACCAGAATTTTGAGCGAATAGTGGGATGCAGATTTAGACTGCTTTGAGGAGAGTGCTAGCCTGTTGATATTTTTAAGTAAAACTTTAGTCAAACTTGATAGCAATTGCACCTCAAAATGAGAGAATTGTCTTCCTTTCTAGGCGGAGAGTATATTGTAAAAAATGTTTCATGACATTAACATACCATGAAAACATTTCATAGCAAATACTCCATCCATTCTAAATTATAAGTCATTTTGATTTTTGTAGTACATCTATTTTGCTGTACATCTAAATATAATAATGTCTAGATACATAACAAAATGGATAAAAAAATCAAAAAAACTTATAATTTAGAATGGAGAAAACGAGATAAATATTACTTTTTTATATAAAATCAATCAAACTTTGCATACTTTAATATAGCACTGTTCTACAATTGCATCCTTTTTGAGACGGAGAGAATATATCTCAACAACATGAAAATATTTTGTATCCAATAAGGGCCCAAGCAACTTGTACACGCTTCCTGGCGGCTAATAGTCTAGCACAAGTAAAAAGTAATTTGATTGATCCTACTCTCACGGAGCTCAAACACTACAAGCAGAACTAATTCTTCTTATAAAACTTCTAGGGAGCCACGGTCCCACTGAATCATTTTTTGAAGGTGGTAAACGCAGCTCCTAGTTTGGCCTCGCAGAGGGAATAAGCTTCAGGACTCAACGCGTTCTGGAACTGTTCTTTGAGATCAAGCTTCAACACCGTTTGCAAGATTCCAGTGCAAAAATTCCGTACTTCCTTGCGGCGCGACTTGTTTTCAGGAACGGCTGAAAGAGCTTCTTGTATCAACCCGCACAACTGAGCCAAATGGTTCAAAAACACCTCTGACGCGTCACCGGCCCATGATTTCAGTATGTAGTCCACCAACTCCAGCATTTGATTTCTCCGATATTGAGCTTTCGTGTTCTCGGTCCTCTGCAGAACAAAACCAAAAAGCTCCTGTCCTATCCAAGGATTCCTCTTAGCAACCTCCTTCACAAAACCAAGCTTCAGCCGTGATTTCTTCCTGTCGTAATCATTCAAGATAGAACGGAACTTGTCAACCACACTTGCAAGTTCCTGTTCAGAACAATTCATCGAGTTGATGATCTTCAGAATCCAAAATGTAGCGTTCTGTGCTACAGAAGCAACTGTGTTATATCTTGAGCGTGATGCCAACCTCAGAGCTTTCTCCAACAAGCTTTCAAGTTTACCAAATTCAACAACATCGCCTTCTGGATACTCATTCCCTTTGAATACCCTCCTCTGCAGTATGCCAGCAATACGTTGCCTGAACTGTTCAGTACCATCAGCACCATGTGATTTTACAAAAGCTTGCATTAAGAAAGAATACACCTCCAGCACCAGAACTTTCCCTGTAGAGATGGAACATAAAGGTTGTAAGAAACAATAGAACAGAAGTTGCATAATGTAATTCAATGACAACTGCAAGTACTATTTTTAATATGACAACTGCAAGCACTATTTCTAATATCTCTAGGCTATAATTCTATATAAATTACACAATCAATAGCAGTCCTTCAAACAGTTCTCTAACTTGGTAAAAAGAATATCGACACAAGTGTTTGAAACAACATTAGAAGATAGTATTGCTTTAGAAAATATCACAATAATTGCAAAAAGATCATTACCGACTTATAAGTAAATCTTTCATTTATCATCTAGACAGAAAACTGTAGTAGTAAGGGCTAAATGGAATATACCTGGATTCCTCTGAAGATATATATCAAGTAACGTAAGCACACGAAGCTTGAATCGCATAAGTTGAGATTGCTTAGTCTCACTACCAGGAAGATTGCGCTCCTTGAATATCCTTGCAATGTAAGGATCAATACGGAACATAGCATCATCATCCATGCCATCTGAATCATCTGAATCATCCCCATCTTTAGTAGCTTCTGCTTTATCTCCACCTTTTGTCTCATTCGGGACTGCTTTGTTGAAATCATCTTGATCCACATCACCTTCATCACTAGAATCATCTTCACCATCTGTAACATCATCAGTTTCCCCAACATCTTCATCTTCCATTACAGTTTCATCATCATCTTCAATATCAACACGACCATCATCTTCGTCATCACTATCTGTTTGACGACGGCCTTTCAAATCTATCTTCACGACCCTCAACATATCAAGGAGACCAGTTTCTGTAATATCATCACAGAACACACGAAAAACCTGTTTTTTCAAAGAAAAGATATGAATAACACATCAGTTATATTTTACATAAGGGCATTACACAAAATAATAAAAGATAAGACTGCATGTGCATATCCCAGGTATTATTAGCATAGATTCCTCAATACTATCAGTCCATAAGATTACAGCTGAGTATGCTTGCCTGTTCAATTGTCAAACAAACAGGTCCAGATGCATGAGGCAAAACAGAGAGGAAAGTCTGGACAAGAACATCCATAAACTCTAGTGACACTTCCTCATTGGGATCCTCTGAACCATCCTCGTCAGATTCCTCAGACCCATCCTCATCAGACTCCTGTGAACCGTGTTCAGCGGATTCTTGTGCACTGGAATTATCACCTTGAGCAATGACAGGAAAGGATTTCTTGCAGCATATAGTCACATCAACTGCGGCCTCCCAATACTCATCTGGATGGAGAAGAACTTGTAGCAGTAACTGGATAAGGAGATAACGCATTGCATGCATCTTAGCAGACTCCAATCCAGGACCAGTTTTTCTCTCCTACTCACACAGGAAGAAACCATAGAAATTAGATGGCAACCAGAGAGGAAATATATGGTACAAGCATGCAACATTAGTTCTAGATAAGCATCAGCTCTTGTTCTATTTTTCACCCCATTTAAGAAACACAAAAGAACCCATTCAATCACACTCTCCATAATTCAACTGCCGGATAATAAAATAAAATAAAAAATTACTACTCCAACTTGGTAAAGCTGCAATCAGGTCTTACTGTGTTCAAAAAGAACATTCCGTGTTTAGTGATTAGATTGTTTCAGAAAGCAAGATGCATATCAACTGTAATGATACATGTGTTGTACCATAGCAGTTCAAGCATGCAGGAGCTTCAATGCATGTGCTTTTGTTTTAGTATGTTCAAGCGAAGTCCTACATACTCACATAGTTAAGACTATCCATCTTAACAACAGTAAATCTCTACTCTAAGGGTATAATCATTGACAGCACTGAATGAATCTTAGAAACTACTTTAATAATTCATTCTACCAGATAACAGAATAGACATTTTTAGTATGGACAAGCATGTACAAAATCAGGCAGAGCATTTGTGATCCCTATCCCTAAAGTAAAAATCTACTTAGCAAGATCGTCTTGTAACCAACAAGAAAAGGAAAACATAAAACATAGCTTGTTAATAAGCTAGAACACAAACAATTACAAACCTCATGGAAAAGCATTGATTCTACAGCCATCAATTTCTTGAATGCGTTATCATCGTTGCCACTCAAAGTCCTGAAGAGGGAGACTGAGGGGATGTTGCATACGGTGTTAATGAAACGCATAAAGTAGTAGCCTAAGTCATTGGATTTGACCTCACTAGGAACATGTAAAGCTTCATCCTTTTGTGCATCTTCCAGCAAGAATTGAAGTTGTTCTATGCATTCCTTACGTAGCGATGTGGATATGGGATTATTTGGCCATTTGAACTTCTCTTGCAACTCAAATGATGTAACCTCAGTTCCTAAAGATGCTGAGAACAGACCTTGAACTGCAAGGAATTTTAATATTTCTGTCTGAACTTGAAACTTTTCTTCAATGCACTTAGCCATTTCAGAATCTGAATTCCCTTTAGATGTAAGCTTTAAATTTTTTAGAACACAAGAAATTGTATTCACCACCCAGCTCTTCAGAAGATCAGTATCCCCTTGCCCAAGAAGTTCCTGCTCTTCAGTTGGGCCAATTTCTGAATTCTCATCGGTTGTCTGACTTTGATCAGATGGTTCATCTGTAACAGATTCTTCATCCACGAATAGGGCCATCAAACTTTGCACGAGATACAAACAATCTTCAACACTATGGAATTTGCCAGCCAGCTCTTTAACAATTTTTGTTTTTGTCATGGAGTCAAATCTTCCACCACTGTATTTCTGTAAGTTGATAATGACAGCAGCACACCGATCATTGTCATGACTTGCTACACTCACTAACTCTTTCAGAAAATGTTTTCCGGCATTATACAACCATGAAGATTCATTTGACAAAATATCCATCAAACCATGAACAACTTTGCTGGACAGAACTACTTGGATAGCTGGAGGAGACAATTTTGGGAGGAGGCTAAGAAGTATACTAAATGCTAAATGCTTCCTGTCATGAGATGAGAGCAGCAAAGATCCTTCAATTACAACCTCACAGAAATTACGAAGATTCCTTTTGTTATCCTCACAGGAGCTGGCTTTCTTATTCTTTTGTGCTTCTTGCCAGAACTGGTGTTAATATCATGCTGAGATGCTGCTTCTAACAAGCATCTCCATAATGACAAGCCATAAACTATGAATACGAGGAAGACAAAAGGCAGATTCCTGCACAAGTTAAATCAAACCAAAGGATCAGCAACCAAATGACACGTAATATAGGACACTGATAAAAAAAATGAGAAACAACAATCACAAAGAACACCTTGATCAGTTTTGGTGGTAACAAAATTTGAAATCCTTATGTTCATTTATACTATTACTGAGAATAATACCTTGAAACAAGCAGCAATGGATTTAAGATGTTGTTCTGCAAAAAAATTGTCAGAGCTGAATGGATGAGGCAGGAGCTTCCCAAATATCTCCTTCTGGACAATAGTTCTCTCTTGCAACTTCAAAGCTAGAAAGAGTGCATCTGGATCTCCAACATCAGCAGCTTTGTTGAACCAATCTTGAACACCAGGAGCTTCAAGAACCTCGGATAGTATGGCTTCATCAGGCAGCTGCAACAGAGAGGTTAGCAGATACCAAATAAACATAATGGTACTAGTACAAATGTACCAATGCAAATGCATGAGTATTCACTTGACATCTAGTTCATAATCCCCTTTTTCCATGATGTTGCAACTTCTACATAATTAATTAATACAATACAATGCTAACGCCGCAACTGCCATAACCTAGGCTTAGGGCCTCTTTGGCACGGCTTATGCCGACTTCGGCTTCATCTATTTTGCGCAAATCGAGGCACTGTAGCATGAAGCCGTTTTGTAAGCCGGAGTTAAAATGAACTAGAAGCCGGGAAAAGCCAGTTTTTCTGGCTTCACCAGTGAAGCCGTTTTGGATGAGCCGTGCCAAAGGGGGCTTTATATAGAGCTATTTACTAATCTAGGAGGCATAACATCTGGTCACAATAATACCCATTAGAAAAAGGCAACTAAAAGGTAACTCGTGATAAGGATACAATGAAAGATCTTACCAACAAAAAATGTCTTGTAAAGCAAGGTGCGGCAAAGGAATATCTATTAGAGCAAGATTTTTAAATATAATAAATTGTTAAAGTTAATGTTAGGAACAAGGGTCTGTCTACAATAGTCTTATATGAAAAAGGTATTAGTAGATTTTTCATGAAAAATACTTCAAAAGTTAACATTTTCAATAACAAATGCTTAGAGAAGAGGTAATGGCCAAATATAATTCAAGACCATGTCGATGTCAACACAAGTATAAAACAACAGAGGTAGTATGATAGTAGCATTTTATTTGTCTGAATTGCTTTGTGAACGGGCCCTTACTTCACAGTCTCTTTAATTTTATTTTCCAGCATCATTGTTCTTTTTGCTTTTGTGAAATATTTGGACACCTCCAACAGTGGTACTAGAACATGAAATGTCATGTTCAAGTGAAAAATTAGCATTCTTATCAGATGGATAGGGTAAAACCACACCTCTTATTCGTACATAAATAAAGTTCAACAAAATTATTTGCTTCAAGTCTGCAATTATGTTGCTAATTAGCTACTCCGTCCATTCTTTTTTATATAAGCTGGTTAGATCACAATTGCACTAATTAATGTAACGTCATATATAAAAGAATGGAGGGAATACACAATATGACATTGATAACAATGACAAATGTATAAAAACTGCTTGTTTCTATCACTGGCAGCGGTACAAATCCAAATTGTTGAAATCAATCGCTGAACATATTTCATTCTTCAAACAACCATCAATGTTTTCTTGCTCATTAACCAAGCAATATTCAGTAACCACTGTAAAATAAGCATAATTGTTTAAATCAAGGATTTGATGTGCGATTGAACCTGCCAGTGATCTAATGAACAGTATGAGACTTGTTGCGAGCAGCTCCAGTGTGCTCAAAAAACGAACCATGAGGAGAGAGAAAACAAGTATGATTCAATTCCAACACGAGCAGCCAAACCAAGCAAATCGATTCTTTAAATCAACTCTTCACTACGGTTAAAACCGAGCGAGTAAAAAAGTCAGCTGATGCATGTGCGGAAGTACCACTGCCGTCCCTCTTGCAGGAGTGTGAGGAGAGCGCAGCACATACTTTTCTTTTTTCTATTCCGTTATGATCCCAGCTAATCCCATACTACTGCACTCGAAACGTAACCAGCATGCGAACTTTGAAATCCACCTCAGCACCAAAATCGAATCGTACACTGGAGCTGCCCTAAGATAGCATCAATCATAAGAAAGAGATAGTACACATGGACTATTTCCGAATGTACTATTTTAATATACAGCAACAGCCAACAGGAAGTGTACACTTTTGATGTCAAATGTCAAATTAGCACGGACTAACAACATGGCTGCAGTTTGTATTAACTTACGTAATCCTAATATTATATGCATCACACTATAATAAAAACATATCATGTGATAGAGCAGTATCAGTGTGTGCTTGAGAGATGTACCTTCCTGACTAAATCCAGAATCACGGCAACTGCAGGCTCCGTCAAATATCGTTTCTTGCCACCGAGTTCTACAACCACACTCACAAATTCCTTAACAATGGGTGAGCTTTTGTCACGTGTCCACTGTCGCGAAACACGACCAGACCTCACAATTGCTCCAAATCCAAACAGGCGCCCCAAAAGATTGTCCTTAGCTTCCTAAAACAGAAAAGCAAGTTGCCATCAAAATATGAATGAAGAGACGTCTAGGTAGCAATAATGAGTAGTGACAGTAGTTTTTCAATTTACCGGTCCCTTCATAGAAGATGAATATTCCAATAAATTTGGGATCAACTTCATAATTGATTCAACCTTGATTGCCCGAATTGATTCGAGCACAGCAGCAAGACCCAATGCAAATCCTTGCCTTGCATACTGCAAACAAATTACCAAAGTTAATGGATTAAAGCAGATCGTGACATCATCCAGCTCAAATAAGCTCGTCCTGAACTCATGGAAAGTATTTCTACCTCTCTAGAAGAAGAGATACCGCGAATAAGCCGCCGAATGGCGTACCGCACAGATGGGGCGCAGTTATCCAGTCCGTCGTCCTTCTCAGCCTCCATCTGCGAGGCGCTGTCCCCATCGCCAGCTTCACTCTCCCCCTTCCGCGCGCTCTTCTCGTACGCCTTCTGCACTTGCCGGAGTTCCGCCACCAGCGCCTCCGCCGCAGTCTCTCTCACCGATGCCTCTGGTGATGCCAGGTCCCTGAACACGTTCATGTGGAGCCCCGGACCCACAGCCGCCGGAGCGGGCGGGGGATTCGCTGGAGCCGCAGCCTCCGCGGCCGGCGGCTGGGCCTTGGCGGCCTCGGCGGCGGCGGATTCGGCCGACTGGCGGTGGCGCTCCTTGTCCAGCTCCTTCCGCTCCTTCTTCCGCTCCATGGCCAGCTTCTTCTTCTTCGCCGGCGCCTCCGCTGCTGCGGCTTCATTCCGGGTATTGTCCGAGGCAGGCACAGCCTCCGGAACCGCGAGGTCAGTCTGGGTCCGCTTTTTTCCGGCCATCGGAGCTCCCTCGCCGGGATGCTTAGCACGGAGTCGAGGCGGAGGGGGAGGGCGGAGCCGCGGAGGAGGGACGGCGGAGGTTTATGCCGACACGAGACGGCGGGGGAGGCCCTTGCCTAGGGTTAGGGTTTTTCTTTCTCGTCTTGTTTTCCCTTTTTTTTTTTTGTCCGCTTAATTTTTTTTATATGCGCATGTTAGAGTTTTGCAAGTGGGCCTAGCCCATCTAGAGGCCCATGATAAGCCCATTTAAAATCTCGCCCGCGTGACACGTGGGCCCTGTCCCGACGCGTGGTGGCGAGGCCGACGTGTGGGCCCCGCGGAATAAAGCACGGCGCCGCGTGGGGGGCAAACAGAGGAAAGGAAGGTGGCTCCGGCGAGCGAAGTGCGGGTGAGGCCATGGCGGACAAGCCGAGCCGCGCGCTGGTCCTCTACGCCGCCGGCCACGCTGCGGTGCTCGCTCCCCCGGCGGGCTCCGCAGCCGCGGGGAGCCACCTCGACGCGTTCGCCTCCCGCGCCTCCTGCGGCCTTCTCACCCTCCGCTCCCCGCCGGCTTCCCATCCCACGACCGGTACTAATCCATCTCACTTCACCTTCCGTCATCTTTGTCACTGCTCGCCGCTCAGTTCTTAATTGTTCCGTTCTGTGATATGCCTAGGCACCGAGGATAATAGCAGCACGATTCTGGAACTGGCGCAGCTGCTCGACGTTTACGATCATCTCTACACCGGAAAGGTGAGATCTTGCTTTCCATTTGTGTCGGGATGGAGTGATTGTTCGAGAAAGTAAGTGCTGTATGTAATACTGCTTGAACTTGTTACATTGTAGAATGCGGAAAGTGGTCAAGAAGTTGCCCAAGTGGATCCACAGGAGCTAGTGGTTCCCAAGCTGTCTGAGAGGTGGGTACTACCTGCATGTATGTGCCCTGTGCTTTCCTAAATGTTAATTAGTCTAGTAAGAGTACTAACCAGTTGTAGCTGCTCATAAATTTCAGGTTTATGGGCCTGAGAGCTGCCTTGGTCACCAGTTGCCCCCGTGTTAGCTCCTTTGCGGCGAATCTTGGTTTCCAAGTTTTTCAGACCAATGATTTCGCCCCACAATCTGGCTCGTCGGGCGTTACTAAAGAGGTTGGATTGATCAACCGAGCATTTGATCTGCTAGGATTCTCGGATGGGAATGTGCAGGAAACATCTGAATTCGATCTAGTTTTCATGCATGTTGCCATGGAGAACACAAGCAGCAAGTTAGGAAAATTAGGAATGAAGACAGATCTCAATCGGCTGGAGAAATTAGTTGGTGCAGTCATGGAATATGCGCCTGTTGGTTCAGCTATTGCTTCACGTATTCATGTATCTGTGATTTTGAGCTATGGGTCTGCTTCTGGAAATAAGGATGAGTTTTCCCTATTGACCTCTTCGACCGAAACAGATTCAGACTTGAATCTACTGCGCCCACGCCAGAGCTACACAATGAAAGCAGGACATACATTAGATGATGTCAGGTTGATGTTTTCCTTCACCTAGCTCACTGGCAAATGAATTCTCGCTGAAGTTTTGAAGTATAATCTAGTTCCAGTAAAGTTTTGATAGTTGTGCTTGTAGTATGTGTGAGTGAAACATAATATGTTCTTTATAAATCAATATTTATTCGTCTCTTCTCTTTATAAATGAATATGAATATGCAACCACTTAAGCCGCCAAGAGCAATCTTTTGAGTCTAATTGACGAAAGTTCACTTCATTCTTTTGATTTTCCTAGAGCCCAAATAAGAATATCTGATTCTGTATCAATCAATCCTGGAAATCAATGTTGTTATTACTTAGTAGGATTTAAGAGGAATAGAAGTGCATATATAGATCTTGTCACTATAATGTTATGAGGCTCACACAGATTTTTGTGCTGCTTGCTGTGCAGACTTCATCATCCAATTCTACTGGCACAGTGGCAGGAAGGAGTTACACGTGTTGATTTGGCTAAAGGGTTTTCTTTTGAGGAGTTTATGAAGGTGCGCTAGATTTATGCTACTTATTATGTATAGCTGAAACTTGTACTCAGTGCTGCAGATGATATGGTTTTTCTATTCTTGTGATCTTGGCTCTTTGCTGTGTTAGATGTTCACAGTTTAACTTAAACATCAAAGTTCTCCATTCTTAGTTAGGTGCTGGACCAGCATTAGAAAGAATGCGGTGCTTGCTTGTATAGACTAATGTTACTGAACTGAAATTAGACATGCCGTATTCACACTGATTCCTTGAAGGGTAGACAATCCCCTGTCATGATTTACTCAGTTGGTCACACCGTCGATTCTGAATCCTTGTTTTCAGATATGATCGACTTGGTCGTACCTTGTAAAAGGTTTAGGGTTGTGGGTAGATAACTATTGTATGATGATTGATGAATTCTCCCTTCTGAAGTGGGTTGTCGCATTGTCTGTGCTACATCTCAAGCAGCTGCACAAGAATTATCAAAACTGGTGTTTTAGATTTTTTTTCCTGTTTAAAGGGGGACAAACGCTTGATACGTAGCAATGTAGCATAGGCATCATGCAAGATCTGTGCAGTTTTGCAGTGTGTATTGTCAAAGGTTTCTGGGACGATTCTCTGTTTTTCTTTTCCTTGGCATTTTCATATCATGCCAAACTGCGGTACTATAAAACCAAAATTCTGCTAATATATTGAAATTCTACATGTTGCTAATTGATGCATGGTAAAGTGAAAATCTGGCAACATATTTTTGACCAGAATGAACACATTACACATGTCGTCATATCCTTTTAAGTTATCTCTATAGAAACACCTAAGGGCATAATGCAACCATCAGAAACATTATGAATCGCAGCAACATAGCAACACCATTTGCAAATTTCAAGCTGATTATGGTAATGGTTAAAAATTGAAGACAACTGTAGATTTTGCTCTGAATATGGTGTGAACAAGAGTTCACACGTGCATACTTCACACTTATTTCTGTTTTATATTTGATTTCAAATTTTGGCCCTGGCATGCTTTATCAGTGGTCAGTCTGCATAATCCATAGTTGGCCTATGCCTTGTTAATTGTCATCCATGAGCTATGCTTGATTGGCTGCACTTCATGTTGCGCCAAATATACATAAACTGTTGTCACGCATCCAATATTTCCCTCGTCATCCCTTTTGTGCAAATAATCTATGCATACAGCACATATTATGTTGTGATTGAACGTTTCTTTTCTTTGATCTGGATTTCCAGGATGAGTATAACTAATGACTTTATTCTTGTGATGTGACCAACAGCGTGGTGGAAACCTTGCTATGCTTGCTGAGCGCTTTCTACATGAGGTGGCATTTAAGCTCTGGAAAGCACCTAAATATGGGGCTTGAGGGTGTCCAGCATTGGCTAGGCGTCGGCTAAATAAACAAAGCACCAGATGGGTTTCCATTTTGGAACGGAAAATGATGAATAATGCCAGACATGTGAGTTTTCATATGAAGTGTACCATGGACTGGCCCTAATTCGATAAACTGTTGAGATTGTTACTGATTGTGCAGTGATTCCCTGCCTATATTTATAACCTAAACATGTCTAACATGGCCTGTTTTGATCTGCTGTGCGCTGAGTCTTCGACTAACAGGTAATAATAACATGCACCGAGCACTGTAATATTGATGTTCCTGCAAATAATGTGGTTGCTGCAGCATCCACTCAGTGGGAAATGACAGAATGGATTTAAGCAGCCCTAATGCTGGTTGATGTGTCACCATGCAGTGGTTTGTTAGCATTTGGGAATTGGGACCGGTGAGTGGTAAAAGGCTTGCAGAAATGTTGCAAGTGATATCGCTGATTTGAACATGTCTGTCTCTGAGCCCATTGGCCTTGCCTATATGTCGACGCACTCTAGCCTCTATGAGCTGCCCCTCCTCGGACCTCGCCCGCATGCTGCATGGGTCATAGGTCTCCTCCAGAGGCGCGTACAGGTGGAGGGAGAATGCAGCCTTGGAGATGGAGGAGCACGACGTGACCGGCCGACCGCTAGGACTGCGGTCAAGAGGTGCCGATCCAGTATCCACACATAGTTACGTATGGTCTGTTCGTTTGAACTTATCAGTCGGTTTATCAACTAGAATCTACAGTATTTTTCTCTCACAACAAAACAACATCAGTCGGCTTTAATACCAGCCGAACAGGCCTGAAGGATAAATATGATTTGCCATGGCTATGCAGCGGGGATTTTAATGAGATTTTATTTCGATGTGAACCACCATATTCTTGGGGCAGTGGCAAATAGTGCTTGGAAACGTATTTTTCCCGTAGTAAGGCTGATAAATGGTGACCCTAGACACTCGGATCATAGGCCAATAATTATTGATGTTGGTGCTAGAGAAAGAAGAGAGTGGGCTGAACAAATGGAAAGTTTACCAAAATTTGAAGCAAGGTGGCTGAAAGAAGAGGACTGTATGGCACTGTGGAGGAAGCATGGAAGTTGGCCTTGGCAGAAGGTGATACAACCTTGATGGAGGTACAAATGAGAATGTTGGGGGAGTTGTGGGAGTGGGATAGAAATGTCCTTTGGAGAGCTAGAGAGGAGGATCAGCAATATAAAGAAGGAATTAGAAAAATGTCGACGACAAAATATATCAGAATATACTGTAAACCGGGAACATCTATTGTGTTATAAGCTCCAACGCTTGCAAGATCAACAAAATGTGTATTGGAAGCAGCGAGCTCATAACACATGGTTGACTACAGGAGACCGGAATACCAACTTCTTTCATGCTTTTGCCTCGAAAAGAAAAAAGAAAAAAAATTGAGGCAACTGCAGGATGAAAATGGAAATGTGGTAGTGGGAGAGCAGCTAAAGAACTTTATTGCTAACCATTACCAACAACTATTCATGTCACATGCAGGTAATGATTTTGAAGAGGTCCTGAATTGTGTGCAACCAAGAGTCACACAAGAAATGAATGATTTCCTGCTTTCCTGCTTATGCCTTTCACTGGTGATGAAATCTGGTGTGTTTTGGAAAGTATAGGGGGTTTAAAGGCGCCTAGTGTTGAATGGTGGGCCAATGCCGGAAGGGTGGAACCATACAATTATTGTGTTAATCCCTAAAATTGCAGCCCCTCAAAATATTAAAGATTTCAGGCCAATCAGCTTGTGCAATGTGATGTATAAACTAATTTCTAAGGTCCTAGCCAATAGATTGAAAAAGATCCTTCCCAATATCATTTCTTCAACTCAAAGTGCCTTTGTTCCAGGGAGGTCAATTACTGATAATAATGTCCTGTTGGCATATGAGTTGACACATCATCTAAGATCTAAAACAAAAGGGGTAGGAGGGCTAACAGCAATCAAGCTTGATATGAGCAAGGCCTATGATAGAGTAGAATGGGTCTTCCTAGTGAAAATGATGCGTAGAATGGGGTTTCATGAGCGATGGGTGCAGCTTATTATCAAGTGTGTGTCTACGGTGTCCTATAGCATAAAAATTAATGGATCCTGTACTCATCGCCTAATTCCACAAAGGGGCCTAAGGCAAGGTGACCCCCTTTCACCTTACTTATTTATCTTATGTGCAGAAGGTCTGTCAGCACTATTACAAAGATAGAAGACACAAGGAAAAATGAAGGGTGTCAAAATCTGTCGAGATGCACCGAGTGTGAATCATCTATTTTTTTTGCTAATGACTCTCTAATTCTAATGAAAGCAAGAATAAGTGATGCACAACAATTGGCACATATCCTACAAGTTTATGAAAAGGCCTTGGATAGGTGATCAACAAGGACAAATCATATATAATGTTCAGCCCAAACACAAATCAATCTGTGAGAACAGAAATGAAGGCGTGTTTATCAATGATCATGAAGCTAAAGGGGAAAATTACTTGGGTTTGCCTGTGTTTGTGGGGAAAACAAGAAAAAGGACCTTTGAGTATATTATGAAGAAAATATGGGGAAGAATACAGGGCTGGCAGGAAAAACTCCTCTCCAAGGCTGGTAAGGAAATCTTGATCAAGGCTGTTGCTCAGTCCATTCCAACATATGTTATGTCATGTTTTGATCTCACAAAGAGCTTGTGCGATGAGTTGAGCATGATGATTGCTAAGTACTGGTGGAGTCAGCAAGACAAAAAATAATAAAATTCATTGGTTAAGTTGGGATAAGCTGACTAGACCAAAGAAAAAGGGTGGCCTAGAATTCAAGGATTTGCATCTTTTCGATATGACCATGTTGTGTAGACAAGCATGGCGACTACTCACAAATCCTGATACATTATGTGGTCAAGTTTTAAAAGCCAAATACTTCCCACAGTCAGATATTCTCAGTTGTCACCCGCATGCTGGGGTATCATATACTTGGAGAAGTATATTAAAAGGGGCAGAACTACTAAAGGAAGGCTTGATTTGGAGGATCAGCAATGGAGAAAAGGTTAAAATCTGAGATGACCCATGGCTACCTAGAGGCACTACCAGAAGGCCAATTACACCAAGGCGTGCTTCTTTGCTGAGGAGAATGGATGAGCCAATTGATCCAATAACAGGACAATGGGATGTGCAACTAGTACATGATACCTTTTGGCCAGAAGATGCAAATGAGGTTCTAAGGATTCCTATTGATGATCGAATGGAAGATTGGTCTGCTTGGCACTTTGATTCAAAGAGACTTTTCTCGGTTAAATCATCTTATAAGTTGGTTGTGGCCAGGAGAGATGCACTTGTCCGATGCTTCTACATCTGGGAGTGCAAGTAATAGGGAAGACGAATTCCAATGGCATAAGATTTGGCAACTGAAAGTCCCCAACAAGGTCCATATGTTTATTTGGCATTTAGCCCACAACAATCTACCTGTAAAAAGAAATTTGGCCCATCGAGGGATCAAGAAAGACACCCTGTGTCTAGTTTGCAATAGATTGGATAAGGACTGCGGCCATATTTTTCAAATGTAAATATGTGAAACACTGTTGGCGGCTAAGGAACATGGAGGAACACAGAGTAACGTTACAGGGATGTCAATCAGGGAAGGAAGTCGTCAACATGATATTTATCTCTAGATAAATCTGTACAAATAAAGGTGATAGTGTTGTTGTGGAGATGGTGATCGGCAAGGAATAAGGTAAATGAAGGACACAAGCTGATGAATGCACTAGAAATTCATAATTTTGTTCTATACCATCTGCTAGAATTTGAGAGATTGAACAATACAAGTCAGTCAGTAAAAAAACTATACCATGCTCATGGAAGCCACCACCTATTGACAATTACAAGATCTTTTATCAAGAGACAAGAACAGGAGGTTGGGGCTTTGTGATTAGGGACACATGTGGGGACGTGCTTGCAGCTGGTGCTGGTAATATGAAATATGTGGCTTCTGCTTTACAAACTGAAGCAATAGCTGCTCTCCAAGGAATCCAGCATGCAGCAAATCTTGGCATGATGCATATCATTCTAGAAACGGATGCTGCAGCCTCAGCATTGGCTCTATCTTCAATGGAGAGGGATAGAAGCACAATCGGTTCATTAATCCATCAGATTAGGGAATGACTTTAATTCTTGTAAAGTCTCTGTCCGTAACAGAACATGTAATAGGGTTGCTGATGTTTTAGTCTCTCATGGAGCTTGTGTTTTGGGCCCTGAATGTTCTATATTTTTTAATTAAGCTTCTGAGTTTGTAATTAACTTTGTATCTGGCGATTTGTCTGGATATATTTGTTAATAGAATCAAGGATTCCGATTAAAAAAAAGACGGCGGCAAGCGTGAACAGCGCACAAAGCGCGTGCGCGTGGCCGGCGGTGGTGCGGCAACGACCGTTTAGAGGTGGGGTGTCCATGAGACGGTGGCAATTGGCAAGTGCGAGCGACAAGGAAAGGACAGGAGCAGCGCATGTGCGTGGTGGCGACGAGCGCCAAGTGGTCATCATCAGGGCGTCTAGGCTGACATGTGGGCCTAGAAGCCAGCCCCAACGTAGATCGGCAGGTCAGTAAAACCACCTCCCAATGATACCCAAAGGTTCGGTGACGTGAGTCCGAGCAAGCAGCACCGCCACCCCTCGACAGCCTGGTCATAGCCTCCTAGCCGACCGCGTAATTCAGGTTGACCATTGTTCAATATAATAGCATAGCTTTCTGTATTAGGGAGAGTCTGAGCGTCCATATATATCTCTTATGGCCACCTAGAGCGCTGTTAAGACGTGTTGTATTAATTTTTTCCTCTATCTTAATAGAAAGACGGGCAAAACTTCTAAGTGATCGAGAAAAATAATAGCCAAAGGTTCTTTACCCGGTTTCACAAAAGTTTAGCTCGCTATAACTTTTCGCACATCGGGAGTCTCAACAAACACACACTTCAAAGCCTAAACTCCCTTAACTTTCCACTTTCACTTGCAGTGGATCTGAAGCTGCCTTCTGATCATTTCCAGCTTCGTCCCTCTCTTCCACCGGAGCGTCTTGAGTACCTTCTTTCTGGGAAAGCGTCTCCTTCAATCTGGCTAGCTCCAAATCCTTAGCTTCTAACTCCTCTTGCAGGATGGACACCTGGAAAAAAAATGCGACCTCAAAATCTCGTGACCATAAAGGCAACCAACCAATAGTACGCAGTAGGAACAATGGTGACGCTTACCATTTCGTTTGATCTCTCCACGTCATTTGTTACACCGTCCATGTGTTTATACAAAACTGACAACAAATGAAAAAGGTCAGACCTATATATATACTCCATGGTCAGACATAGAACAACTTATTCTATGACCACTTTGAATTACCATAACGATTGTACTAATTTACAAGATTACTTATAACCCCTAATTGATTTACTGTAAATATCATCATAAGTTATAGTAACATATGTGTCGTAAATATGTATTCATTTTATCGTAGATTAGTACAGATATTATCGTAAATTGAGGTGGTCATAGAATAACTTATTCTATGACCGGCCACAGATTATGTAACAGTAACTTGTGACTTTATGTTGTATGGCTGTACTCCCTCCGTCCCAAAAAGAATGCAATTCTTACTTTTCGGGGAGAAAGAGTTTAAAGTTTGACTAAAGTTATATAAAAAAGTACTAATATTTATGATACAAAATAAGTACTATTAAATTAATTACGGAATATACTTTCATACTAAACCTAGTTGGAGATATAAATGTTAATACTATTCACTAGTATAAACTTAGTGAAATTTATACTAGTTTGATTGGCAAAACAAACTTAGTCAAACTTATACTAGTTTGATTGGCAAAACTCCCATAGTTGCATTCTTATTGGGACGGAGGGAGTAACTCACAAAAAAAAAATAGTATGCAAATTAAGATATGTTGGGGTACCAGATGCAATAGTTGTAACTCAGGAAGGGGAATGCCAATTACCAGACGAAGTACTGCTATTAACCGCATCAACAATGCATCCTTATTTTGCATGACAAACTGATAGTCATGGCAAACTGGTCTAAAATGGATCCAATTCCCAAGCCCCAATTAAAAGTATATTTCAGTCACATAAAACTATCACTGAAACTTCTTTCCCAGCAATGAGTTCAATGTTATCATGGATCTCATAAGTACCTCCATCATCGACCACTAGCATTCAATCTAACCGTGCTAGCATAGTGCAATAAATGTTGAATAAGCAAAAAAAAAAATATCAAACATTTTAGACTCGAAAGTGTAGCGAACAATACTCTTGGCCAAGCACTAATCCCTGAGAAGCATTAAAAAAATATTATAAAGAAAGCAGCCCATATAGACTAGAGTATCACTAACCATCAAATTGATTCCTGAGCTCATTGTTCTGAGACTTCAGAACTGCAATTTTCATTCCAAGCTCATGTATCTGTAACAAAGATACATTGTTAGATGTCCATCTCCTTTTACAGGGGCATATTAGGATTTTAGGAAGTCAAAATTTATGCATTTTGACTAGCAATTAGCCGAATTATATGCATACTTAGTGTAGTAAAGTTGTATTAATATATTTGTATTTCACAGATCTTTTAACATAACATTAATTTTGTAGTAATTCTAAATATAATGTCTTTTAAAGACTTCTCCAAACCCTAATGCATCCTATAAAATGAAAGAGGGAGTAATTCAGCAAAATAAGAGCAGATCTAACTTTTGTTATGAAGTCTGTTGTTTCAAAAGAAAATGACCAAGGACATGTTTTCTGTTTCGATAGTCATAAAAACAATCAGAAAGCATATCTAAATTTATATGGTCGCAAAGTTAAGCAGGAGTAAGGAAAAAGGCTTACTTTTCCTTCTGATGCCATCGCCCCAATCTCTTCATTTTCCTCTTGCAATGTTCTACATTTAGCCATTAGCATTTTTCCCAGTTTGCTGGATGGAGTAAAATTGACAGCAGCAACATTGTCCTGTAGCTCCTTTATTTTTCTCTCTTTCTCCTCCACAAGATTCTGGCACAAAAGCAGACTTAAGATTTGGAATGTATGGATAAATAACCAGTGAGTCTCAAGATGTGGCAGTTATAGCTTTCATAGGCAACTAAATAAAACATAAGTTTAAAATTCTGATTGATCATATGCGTATTATTTCTGAGACCAATATTTGGCAAACAGTAAGAAGGTAGTGCAAAGGAAATCATAAACCTTTACTGTGTTTCTTATAGGAAACAAACAGCAAAGTGCTTTTAATTGAAAGAAATACTGATCGGGACCCATTCATCACAAGCATCACCAAGCCAACGAGCACCTGCTGCCTAGCCCTGTCATCCACAAGAGGACAGAGGAGCCTGGTACCTTGGCATAGTAGGTGTGTGGCTGGTGCTCGTCAGGGCATGTGTCCTCTGATGCGTCACAGCTATGCCCTGGATCCTCCCTGGATACATATCCAGTCTGTATTCTAAACTTTCAATATCAAGTACTTGATTGGATAGCCGTACTAGACACGTATGGGCCAAAGTGGATAGGGCCCAAATAAGTAAAATGGCCAAACCAAGGATTGAAGGAAACAAATACAGAAGAACTGTTTTGCATGTTCTAAATATACAGGTATAAGATGATACAATAAAATAAGAACCATCTGATTCAGGGAATGTAATAACTTACCTTTAAACGTGTAAATTCCTCATGAATTGCTGGATCAAGCAATAATCTCCTTGTCTGTTAACCATACAGAAGGATGAACTAAATTAAGCTAACCAGAATATCAACACCAGTTAAACAAAATTAAGGCAATTACTGAAGACACCGTCTATAGTAGAATTCAAGTAATATTTTAGATGGGACAATGGCATTCTTACCACTAGTTCAACTCTGGTAACTTTACCCCACTTTTCATCTTTGTGCCCCTCTTTTCCCAAACTGAAGATTTTGTTTACCCTCATCCCATTAAGAGAAGTTAATGTAGCATTTGGTTCCAGGGATGAGACGATGTGTGGCAATCCCACTTTTGTGGGTGTTTGGTTTGGGGGACGGCTGGGACAGACATCCCACCTAGGGAATATTCCCATGATATGCCACTAGTCCCAAAAAGATAAATCGTCCCACCTAGGACAAGCGTGGACTAAGAGTAGTGGTGAGTGTGGGTGGGTTTCGTAGCCACAGGCGTTGTAGGCGTGTTCTGACGGGTTGGACAGGATAAGGCCAGCCAAGGGCAAGTCCAGCAACACAGCGCGTGGGAGGAGAAAGGAAGAAAAGAGAACAAGGCTTGGGGCCGACATGTCTGATGCCTCATCCTCCCTATCCCTCCAACCAAACACAAAATAGGCAACAGCATCAGAGGAGACGAAGCAGACGAGCTCACCAAGCCCAAGCACATGCATGCTGCCACCCGTCCGCCCCAGTGGCGAGCATTGGTACAAGTATAATGGATTCATCTGTGTGAGAGAGATTTGTTCTTGAGGGAGAGAACAGAATGTATAAAGGGAACTTTTGTCCTTTCCCATGTGTTTATATCGTTTTTTTTTCCTCCTTTTTCTAATATGTTTAATCCAGCCAAGGTTAACAGACATCCAAAGCAGGGGCAAACGGTTTATTCGTTTTCAAAATGCAAGGTAAAATCAAAAGGTTAGAAAAGATGGGTAAAAACACCATTAGCCTCTACAACAAGGGAAAGAACACCAAAATCCCAAACGTTTATTTGGGTGTGGGGTGCTGAATTAGTCATTAATGATTAACCCCAAAATATATATATAAAAAAAAAAAGAGAGTCCTTTTGATACATGAACATTTCACATAAATAATAACATAAGTAGCATTGTGTTTACCTGCATTGACGGTGGCCTTAATTGTGTTTTTAAATCTCTAACTGCAGACTGTGAATTAAACACAAAAAAAATGAACAGTCAACATGAGAATGTGAAACCACAAAATGAACAAAACAGCAGCAAGAATTACAAATATTTCCATCAAATAAGTAAAATGTTGATAATAAGTTTCCAACTGGTTGGCATCGTGAACTGTATACTAGAGATTAAGAAATTATATGACAAAATATTCAACAGATTTAGCCATATTTTCATGTCCCATCTCATAGAAAAATGAGGTTTCCAGAGGGTACCTTCAGTTCTGCAATCTCCTGCTCTCGTTTTGCAAATGTTACTATATAAGCTGCCTCCCTTTTCTTTGCTTTCTCCAGCTGAGTATGTAACAATAAAAATAAAATTGAAGCAAAGGAAGAACCAATTTAACAGTCCCTCGTATTAAGACAAAAAAAAACAACCTGCTCCTTCAATGACTCCTCTGATGACTTCAGGTTACTGAGGTAAGACACCACTGAAACAGGATCTACATTTGAGATAATTTAGTATATTTGGAGATTTGGTTAGGAAATACAAAAAATTAATACAGAGTTGTATTCAATTCACAAACCTGGACTGGTACCAGAAGGTACAGCTGGAACGCTCTGAAATGCTGAATGCCACTTCTCGATTTCTGATTTTGCAGCTTCCAGTTCCACCTGTTACAATAGTTCAAATAATTTCCAATGGCAAAAGGGTCATAATTTTTATCTAGGTAGAACAGATAAAGTGTTACAGACTCTGGAATTAAGTGGAAGCAACAGTTGACCAACTAACTGCACAGAACTATATTACTTAATCCACCAAAATCTTATATTTCTTTTTTTTTTCTACCTAAATCTTCAAAAAGAGCTTATCACTTCAGTAATGCAATTCTATTTATAGGTCAAGTTCTTCACCAGGCTTTTTAGTTCACAAATTTTATAATTCCAACATATCAGCAGCAATGCAGATCCAATTATATGGTCTAACAGACTGACTTTAAATTGGTTTTTTATAAAATACCTAGTAAAACTTGTTTTGTCAGAACTGGTTTTTATTTAGGAGATCCACAACAACCACTAAGTGAATGTTGATTTATAGTGAACAAGTTATACCAAAATTATAAAATAATAAACTAGAACAAATAACATTTTATACAACCAGATAACATAACAGTATTTTAATGCTCTAGAAAATGAGAACATCAGAAAAGGTGAATGACATCAAACCTGGCAGGATGCAAGGCTTTGTTTACAGTCCTGTAAACTACAAAGGAGAAGAATGTTAGTCCTATGTCCATTTATAACAATATAAATGAAGTTATCAGCTAATAAGAAATTCATTTGCTTGAAAGGTCAAACATAAAGTGTGATGTACCTTTCACGAAGAGACAGAATCACTCCTGTCGCAGCTCCTGGTGCACTTTCCTCAACCTTTATCTTTGCCTGCACCACAAATTACAGTATTAATGCAGGTCGGATGTCAAGTTAGCAAGATTTGTTCGAAATCTAAATTTAATCTAGATGCAACTTCCAAATTGAAAAGTTGAGCCAAACCTAACCTAAGTGTGGTTGACATATGTTCCACATTGACTAATTTTAGTATTAGGAGATAAACGAGCACAATCAGAGCAATATTTAAATCGAGCTTTTCAGCTTACAAAATGCATTTTTTTCAGCCCCAGCTGTCAGCCAAAATCACAGAATCTCATGTCTTCTACAGTATAACAAGGGCTAATAAAGGGCTAAAAAGATGTGCAATTTCTTGATTACGGCATCACTTGGATGCCAGCATAACAAGGTTGCAGGGTTCAGCTTCAAACTCAAATCATTCCACCAAATAGGCTTATCTTCCTCTTCCCTATGTTAAAGCCAAAGGGTGCCTAGCTCAATCGGTTAGGCTTCCCGGCGGCACTCCTCAGGTCCTGAGTTCGACTCCCCGTGGGAGCGAATTTCAGGCTGAGGTTAAAAAAATCCCCTCGCCCGTCACATGTGCCAAAGCGCAGTAATGGTCCGGCCCAGGGTCTGGTCCGGCCTGTGGATCCGTGTGTGTGCGCCTTGAGTGCCGCACGGCCCAGGTCCGGCAGACGCCTTCTCACTGGCCAAGGATACCGCTGCGTCAGGATGTGGACGGGGGTTCAGGGGTTTTCTCGATCTGTGTGAGAAGATCTTCTTAGTAAGAAAACCCGGGGGCCGTCATAACCCCCCGCAAGTCGAGTTTTTTTTTAAAGCCATTCCACCACCAACTAAAATTCTCATGACCACATCTACTGACAAGATAATAAACTTCAGATCCTACCAAATAGGCTTATGCTTTGGAAAAAGCGATAAATGGTTATCAGTTCAGGGCATGTTTGTTTTTTAGCCTTGACCTACCTAGCTAGTGGAAAGGAACTGAAAGATTGTGGAGTAGAGCCAATCTTGCTTGCTTCCAGATATAGTTAAACCAGAAAAGGCTAGGTAAGAAGAGCACCTTTAGAAAGCAAGTGAGCTTGAAGGGTAGCAGTCATTCTATCATTATATGATGCATTATCTAGAGTCATGCAAATAATTTTACTGTCAACTTTCCATTACAAAAGCACATGTGCACTTCATCAGCAATAGAAACCATATCAAGTGGTGGATGCAATTTATTGAACCAATGGTCCTCTTATGCAATTTCCATTTAGCATCAATATAATGAGCAGTAATGCAAATATAATTGTACTTTTGACGATCTGGTTTCCAATTATCTGAGATGAAACTAACTCTGCCAGGACTATTAGTGATAGCTTCTTCAATTACTTCTTTTCTTTCGTTTTCAAACACATAGCCATGGTATCCCTTTTTATAGTGTAACGACCAGACCCATCATCATTTTTCTCAGACAGTAGTTGGAAGTTAATTTTTTAACATGCCTCGACATAGATGAGGTTCCATTCTTACTGTCAGCAACTAACTTTTTCTTGCAAGGTAAACACTCAGGTTCACCTTCTGGTGAACTTGAAACCTTTCCATACCTCAGATTTACGAGAATTTGAGGGATTAGTAGATGAATTGGCCGCTGATCTTGCACGTTTCTTTCCGGTTTGTTGTGCCCTTGCTTCAGCTGTCGACTCCTGCCGCTGCCCATCACCCTGCTGCGGCTGCTCACCAACCTGCTGCTCCTCGGCATCAAGCTCTTGGATCTCTTCGTCTTCCTCCATACTCATAGGGCTCCACGGACTGGACATGGTGCCAGCAAAACACCAATCTGAATCTGCCATGGTGACAAAACAAGAGAAAAGTTCAGACCAGATTAATGCACAGGGAAGATCTTGAGAGGGGCAGTGAGGACTGAGGAGTGAGGAGTGACTAATGAGTCCCGTTACCTTGGAGGGCCGGGACCGGGTGTCCGGGAGGGCGCGACGGCTACGGGTGAGCGGCTGGGCGGCGCGGACAAGCGGCGTGTACGGCTGGGCGGCGCGGGTAGCGTGTGCGGCTGCGCCCTGCGGTGACGAGATGGGAGGCCGGGACCGGGAGGGGGCGCCGGCGACGTCGACGGCGACAGGTGAGGAGCGAGCGGCGGCCGGCAGGGGTCGAGAGCCCCTCTAACTACACCCCTAGCGACGCTAGAGAGCAGTCGAAGTAGGATCTCCGTCCGCTACGGATCGTACGTCCGCGCGTCAGCTTGCAGTTCCCACCAGCCTCCATGTGCCACAACCATACGCTGGGCCTCGGCCCAACAAGAACGCTACCTGTTTCGTCGTATCAGTCCCAACACCCGTTGCTCAAAAAAAAAAGGGGACAATTGGCCACGGGACATTCCAAATGAGTACCGACATTTGGTGGACACCCCAAATCCGCAAAGTTGCTGCTGGACACTGTGTTTCCATTTTGAATTGCCAGAAGACACCGCGCCCCGGTTTCAGCCAAGAAAGGTGATGATTTGCCCAAATTGCCCTTGGCCCAACTAGTCAGCCCATTCTTCTTCCTCCCTTTCTTTCTCTGTGTTTACCTTGACCTCCCGCCGTTGAAGGAGAAAGCGGAGGAGGAGAGGGCGCCGGCAAAGAAGGCGAAGCTCCGCGCTGGCAGCGTCATGAATTTGGGGCAAAGGAGGCGCCGGAGTTCAGCCATTGCTCTGGCCGGGAGGAGGCTTTCGGCATGGTGGCATTTACATGCGCCCATGAGTTCAAGACAGCGCGCCATGAGGCCGCAGCGAGCTGCTGCTCTCGCACGCACGCTTGGGCGAGGCCATGGCGGAGCCGCAGCTCGACGCTGTGCCCATGAGGCCGTCTTGATGGGGCCGCCGCCTGCGTTCGGCCCGTCTTGGCTGGCGAGCCGCCGCTTTCGCGTACTGCCCGCGAGGCCGCGGGCGGAGTCGCCGCCTCGTCGCCCGCGAGGCGTGGGCGGAGCTAGCCGCTCGTCGCCCGCGGACGCCTTCTCGGCAAGACGTGCCCTCGAGGCCGCTGACGGACCCATTGGTCGCCGCCGGCGAGGCCGTGAGCGGAAGCCGTCTTTCGCGTCTTGCCGCGAAGCCGCGCATGAGCTGCTGCCGCGAAGCGCCGCCATGCGTGGGCTTGACTCAACGGCGGCATGGCACACGCCGATTCGGGGCGGCTTAGCGTGCTCCCGCAGAGCTGCTCGGCTCGGCATTGGAGGTGGTCCGTGACCCACGAGCATCAAGGCGGTCTGCGAGCGTCCTCGGCCATGACAGGCTAGCTACCGGCGGCGGCGGCGACCGGGAGGAGAGGCGCGGAGCTGCGATGCGCCGATAGGGAGGCATGGTGCGGTCGTATGGAGGAAGGGCGCAGCAGCGGGGCGACGCCGTGAGCCCGACGGCCGGCAGCAGCGAGGGTGGGTTCGTCTGGGAGGCTGTCTGGCTCGCTGATGAGGACCGCGTCGCGGCGGATGGAATGGGCTGACCAGTTAGGCCAAGGGCAATTTGGGCAAATCATCACTTTTCTTGGCTGAAACCAGGGCGCGGTGTCTTCTGGCAATTCAAAGTGGAAACACAGTGTCCAGCAGCAACTTTACGGATTTAGGGTGTCCACCAGCCGTCGGTGCTCATTTGGCATGTCCCGTGGCCAATTGTCCTAAAAAAAAGTCCCAACACCCCTGAACCCTGATGCTTTTTTGGCACGAGTTTTTCTTGTTTTGGCACGAGGCTGAGGAACAAGGCTACTCTGCACTCCGTTTCTTCCTAAAACTTATCGGTCTGCCTTATCAACCATTCTCTCACAGCGAACGGTATTTTTTAGTCTGGTTTTTCAGCGAAGCGAACAGAACGTACGTTAAAACATCAACTATTTTTGCATCAAAAACAGAATCTGCATATCGATGACCAAAGAAAATAGTCTTTTTTCAAGTCTTTTTAAATAACATGTCTAGATTTGTAAACTATGTAAACAAGATTACCAGATTTTTTCAATAGCATGTCTGGATTTATGGACTGTATATGGATCCTGAAAAGTGCTTGTACTTGTACAGGACTTTTCTACAATTTGGTTACCAAGGTTGTCAAGTGTGTTGTCCACTAACATCGTGCATTCAGGAGAGTTAACTAATTAATGTGCCCAATCAAGAAATTTGTGGGACATATATTTGAACCCAAACATAACATCCATCTTAGGATTTTCAATTATGTTTTCCTTAGTTGTCTTGTACAATTATAGTTCGTGCTCCCCGTGTCTAACGCTTTTAACACGTATTGTGGTGGTGGTGACTAGCCCTGGGCATAATTGAGCGAAGAACGAACCGAAATAACCGACACTGAGACTGAAGTTTTTGGTCACTACTTCGGTCCCGAGTCCATACTACCCGAAATTTTTACGGTTAGTTCGGTTATATGCTTCGGGTAACCGAACTAATCGAACATTTGAATTTTGTTGACATAATGTATACTTTAGACTATTTATTAGTGATATAATATTTATTCTAGTAGGTTTATATCAACTGTCACTCTTATCACTTTGTTTAATCTATATTTGTATTGTTATGTTTTCCGTAAAATAGAAAAAAATATTGTTAAAATTTGCTACTAATAATTATACTATTTAGTAGTTGATTTGTCTAGTTCGGTCACGACAGAGACCGAACAGAACTATCCGAGACCGAACTTGCTTGGTCCTGAGTTCTAAAACTAACCGATCGGTCTTCGTTTTTAGATGACCGAACTTTAAAAATGACCAAAGAACCGATCGGTTAGGTTCTATCGGACCAAACGCCCGGGCCTAGTAGTGACTTGATATTCATTGAACAAGAACCTTAAGAGCATGACTACATATGTCCCAATTCTATCAAACTGCCTGCATCTGCATACAACCTTTTGCTTCAAAGGATCACCGACAACTTTATATTCCTCCTCGTATGTAAAATTCCTACTGGATATTCATTACTACCATCCAGTGCTTTGGTGCAAGCTGCCAAGAATCTTTCATATTCACTTTAAAAAGCTTCAAATATAATAGATGTCAGATCACGGTTGATGCAAAGGCAATGCAATGTTCAGCAGCCCTGAGACTCTTCTCTGTGGTGATAATATTTCAGACCATGCTCCTATTCGGAGCTCTTTTCTAATATAGTACAGGAATTTTACAGAAATCTTCATAGAGAAAACGCTGGAAGAAAAAATCTTGCATTACAAAATAGGGGCATAAGGCGTCACTCCATTATAAACTGCATATCACGCTGAACAAACATGCTGACGAAGTAAAGATATCTTTTCTTTTCGTGTAAATAAAATCTGCATGTACTAGCTTTTTAGATGCGTGAACAGTGAACTACCGTATTATTAGTATTACATAACTGAGGCAAACAAAAGAAAAGGTAGAAGAAGACAAACGTGGCGTGACACGTACAGGTCGTTTGCACGTCGCAGTAGTCTACGAAGTCGACAACCTTCCGCATGAGCAATGCAACGCGCCAACGCCCCCAAAGACCGACCTCAAAATCCACATTACTTATACCAGACGACCAACCAAAAACAAAAGTGCGTGGTCCGTGCAACGCGCGCGTAATACTGCTGGTACCAACTAGCCCCTCCTGTACAGTGCTCTGCTGATGGCATGATTAGTTGTTAAACCATATATAACTAAGTAACTAACCCCATCGAGCCAGGCACACGGGACGGAAAAAGGTAGCTCGGATGCGCGCATCATTGCACGGGCGACGTCTCACCTCATCTGCGTGGATCTGGTGGCCATGAGAGACGCAAACGCACAAGCAGCTGACTGATTAATAAATAATAATGCGACGGAATCTCGTTATGATGAAATAATAGATACTATATACGTAATTCTTTGGTCACAATGACACGACTCCTAAGTTAAGTCACGAACAACATTTTATTCTGATCTTGTTTTGTCTCTATCATTTTTTTTGTGAGCTAGTAGAGGACACGGGGAAAAGACTTGCTTCCGGTGGTTCAACGGTCGCTGTCCTCCCCGGTGCAGTCTCCGGATGTGGAAACCGACAAGGTGGGCAACCGCCACGTTCTGTCATGCCTGCCCGTTCCTAGTACAAAGCACTAGCACTAGCAAGCTTTGATCAGTTCCCAACTTCCCATGTCACGGGTACCTTCTTCTGCTTCGCGTGTAAATGTGCTCTAAGCCTCTAATCTCCTATATGTTTTTTATAGTAAGGTTCTCCTATGAATAGTTTTTTTTTAATAAAAAACAAAAGGAACTCGTAAAAGGCAGGACATGCCAGTTTACAATTACTAGCTCAAACACGAGCGATCGTCAGGGGGTGACGGTGATGGGCTGATGATGATGCGCGGGTGGGCCAATTTGGGAGTTGTTAACCTCGGCGGTTGGGCCCACTAATCCACGACCACGAGCAGCGCACATGCGGCGGGTGCGTCTCGGCTCTCTCTGCTCCAGGAACGGAATCTATCGCGCGTCGTCTTGCGTCCTACCTGTCGGCCATGCCGTGCCACGCATCGAGGTTGGCGGCGGCGACACATGCGCGCCGGCGCGGCGGGGCCACCGACGTGGCCGCCGGGACAGGCGCACGACGGGAGACCGGAGCAGCAGAAGTGAGAGGCTGCACCGTTTGGATGTTTGATCAAGGCTAATTGCTAGCTAACTAAAAATTAACCTAAATTAGCTTTAGTGTATGTAAATGGGAAGACTAATAGATGAGCTAATTTTTTAAGGTAAGTCTTCAATCAGTTATTATTTTGTTAACCAACTAGTTAGCTAACCATAGGTAAATTTAGGCTAATTTGTAGCCCATTTAGTAACTAGCCAAGTGTATTAAACATACCCTTAGTTAATAGAAATTAGACGAACCTCAGTTTGATTATTTTTGTTGTGTTGGTCACATGCTCACTAGATTTTTAGTATTCAACTTAACATAAATGTTTGTTTTTTATTTTAAGATTTAAATATTTAATGGTATTATTCTTTCAATAATAATGTGTATCTGTATTGTATGATATGCAAAAAAAAATAGTTTATAGAAAAACAATATCACCATTCTTATGTTAAATATGAAAATATATTATATGATTATTGTAACGGTACTTGCTCTTATCATAAATGTTAGTATTGTTTTGTAGGCCCGGTGAAATTTGAAGCATTTGACTTTTTTGTTTGGTTGAAAATCAACTCTTTTATGTGACGGAAACCCATGAATAAAGAGGCAGATTTAGCACTGGGTCAGCAGCCGGAGCTCGAGCCACTACTACCGTCGCCAGATGTATGGAGCCCCTCCTAAACCTCCGCTACAAGTTTGCAGATTAGAAGGAGAGGCTAAATGTAGAAAATAAGGCAACGAAACTCCTCGTAGCATGTGTTTTTAGATCCGCCACTGCCCATTATGCGTTCAGCGCAGCTTCTCATTCTATCGGTTGTAAACTACAATAATCATGCTGGAAGGAAGTTCAGCTCGGTGAAATGCGGGAATGACGTTTTGATTTCTTTTGTGCTTTTACCCCTAGCCGGAAGGAAGGCAGGCATCTGCAATAATTCGTGACGGCCACAGCAGCCATGCTTACAGTATCATTTTCATCAATAAAAGAGAGATGCTAATTTATTATGATACGTTTACGTTGAGCTCTCGTGCGTGAACGTTGTTTGGCTCTGCTCTGTTATGACGAGTCAACCCGTTTTGTCTCTCGTGGCATCCATCCA